GGTCGTCGTCGTCTACGGTGGTACGGAAAGGTTAAAACGGTAAAAGGGTAAGGTAAAGGTAAACGTAAGTAGTAGTTAGAGTAGTTAGTTGTTAGTCGTCTTCTACTACTACTACGTAATACGTACCTACACTCTCTCTCTCTCTCTCTCTCTCTCTCTCTCTCTCTCTCTCTCTCTCTCTCGGGTGTTGTGTATAATGTTAGTAAGATGTAAGATCGTAAGATCATCAATGGGAAAGGCAGGATGAGGTTGTTTCCAATGGTTTCATGTACTTTTTCTAGGAGGTAGGTGGGAATATCATGAATTGAAAAATTATATTTCTTTTATGGCACTGACCTTTTTAAGAATGTTGGTCTGAGCTAGATTGTGTACCTTTATCATTCATTTGAACTTTTTGTAGCTCATCCTCCTTCTATTATTCCCATATCTCAGCCAAATTTTATTCCATTATTTAGTGATGAAGAATGAATGTGTAATAACAAAGAAACATAAAATAAAAATTGGAGGTCATTTAAGTGTTAGTTTAGATTGCTGGCCTTGTCTGACCCTGCACTTGCTACCCCATTTCGCTAGCAACAATCCTATGGCCAATTTGGTGGCCCTACTGGTAGGATGGAACATATAAACAAGTAAAGGAAAACTTACCATAATCAAATGGGCCTGTGGTTCTGTATAATCAATTGGATCATAACACATTTTCTCATTAAAACAAAAAAATCAACACTAAATTAAATTCCATGAGCCTAATTTACTTAACTTGGGTGATGGTTCGAAGTTCGAACCCAGTTTGAGCCATATGGCTCAAAATTCGAACCTAGCTAGCCTGAGAATTGAGATAGAGAGATCGCGGGATTTGGAGTGGTAGTTAGCTTTGAGGTCCTCAATAGTATGTGAAAAAAGGGCAATCTCCCCTCCTCATCATGTGGATGGTGGAAAAGTGTCCTTTCTAATGGTTGAGATTAAATAAGGCTATATTGGCTGAAATGTAATTTTGTTTTTATTTTTATTTAAATATCATATTTATCTAAAATTTAAAGGAAACCAAATAAAAATAACCAAAATGCCCTTAAATGTATTCTAGTTAATATTTTTTGTAATAATTTTTGTAATATTTTTTGTTCTTATTTGGTTTCTTTCGTATAAATTAATTTACACTATAAAATTTTTGAATAAATGTATAAATAAAACATTAAAAATAAAATAAAAAAATTATTTTAGAGCCTTGGATGAGGTTAGGTTCAATCTATTGAAATTGTGCACATGTTGTGTACGCTATTGTTATTAGCTTCGTACCTATTTTGACTAATTTTTTCACTTATTCCCAAAAGTCTGAAATTGAAGTTGTCAAAAACTCAGTTTCCTTCCAGGATTGAAATAGGAGCAATTTGAGAAAAATAAACAATTAAAAAGATAAATAAATGTAATACCAAAACTCCGAGGGAAATTCTTAGGGAAAAGTTATTCGTGATTCACTAATGTCATCTCTAAGATGGATGTTGTAAAAAATATTGGGGCTAAAATGAGATGTAGAAATTTTTCTTAACAAAATTAAATTATAAATATTAAAAAAATTATTTTATTTTTTCATATTCATGATCATCCTAACCTAGATTATGCATCCTAAAATATTGGATTAAAAATTATTTTTAAGATGAGTTTAAAGGGGTAGGGGGGGGGGAGGGGGTATATGCGACAAATAAGTAGGCGAGACGTAACCTTAATTTAAGTAAAAGTAACCC